ATAAAATTTTGAAGAACGTTTGGCTTTCTTGTCTATAATTACTTTTTAATTGCCAATTATTCAAAAATTATCGATTTTTTATCGATTATCGTTTTTTTTTTTTTTTAGAATCGAATCGATTTTAAATGAGTCAAAGAACATGTTGTCAAAAAATAATGCCATAGAATGTCCTGTATAGATTTTGTAATTTGATATAGACATATTATTAATTATCGAATATCGTTAAATATTTGACGCAATTAAGATAATAGAAGATAATACGATCAGACGCGGTATATCCATGTTTTGCGACGCTTATTAAAACAGGCGTCGCTATGGGAAAGTCGATAAACGGTGTCAATGTCGTAGGTTACGTGTAACTGCTCGTTCGCAGGTAAGGGAGTTTAGTGATTTAGGAGTAATTGCGATGCCGGGCGATGATTCGCGTGGGAATGCAACAGGGCACCGTGTTCGATAAGCTCTGCGGAACAATAACAATTAAACCGGCTAACTCGTAATGCCAAAATACAATATAAGCACGAACAATGCTGCGCCCGCCAGTCGCGGGGAGAGACGAGCGGTCGGTCGCCCGACAATGCCCGCCGTGCTTTCGTTAGACAAAAGCGAGATTCTCTCTTGAAGCGCGTTTCCTTCGGGCAGAGATCGTAAGTCGAGGAAGAGCTTAAGCCGGTCGCGTCTTACTACACGCCGCGGTCGTTTCAGAGAGTGCGCGCGCGAGAAGAGAGATCGTAGAATTTAATTAAAATCTACCCGACTGCTCGCGCGAGCGTGAGAAACTTTACGTTTTAGAAAATGTTGCGGGAGAAGGTGCGGGACCGACGACACTGTGATTTACGAGCGCGCGCATTCGCTTTTTAATTATACGATAATTATCAATGCATGATTATTGATACAATTATTTGTGACAAGCTAATAACGTGGCGTGTGTACATATCTCCCGTTGCTGGTTATTAATTAATTATTGCGATGCATTAACTGTATTATGTTGATGACAATCGCGCTGCCAAAGCCGATTTTCGTCGCTCAAAACTTTTGTCGCAAAATCCCGGCAATATGGACAAATTCCCGGCTTATTTTCGTGTCCGCTTGCGCGAATACAGCAAGGGTGGAAGGTGGGGTAAATTTCTTCATCTGTTTTGCGTATTTTATCTCATCTCAACTTATCCGCGCAAGCGACACTTTAAATCAAACGCAGTCAATGTCCGCAACGGTCTCCGATGAATTGGTGGTTAAAATGCGTGATAAATCTCAAAACTGCGCGACGTGTACAAAGTGCGTCATCGGCTTTAAATAGCGTGCACGAGCCGAGAGATACTCCCAATCGATGGGATGGTATAAATTAGAAATTTTTTTATCCGCGCGTTTCGATCGCCGTGAGATATTACCCGAGAATCACGATGGGAAAACAGGCGAAAGAGTTCGCCTCGTTAATGCCGTATGATGGGATTTTATAATTCATTGCGCACGTTTCGATTCGCTCGATTCGTGGTCTTTGTATTATTTGAGAAAACATCATTGATAACGGTATCGTTGCCCAGATGAAGTGTGATTACATTAGCGAGGATAATTGTTGTACTACACATTATAAAAAATGATTTAAAAATCACTTTAGTATTTTAATTTTTCCGTTACAGGTCACTTGTAAATTTACATTTTATCTTGGGAGCATTAAACGCAATATAGAAATTTAAATTACGTTATTTAATCTTCTCAGAATAAAATTAGTTTCACATAACACGTGATATGTATAAATATAAGCACATTAAAACAGTTCTCTAAATATGCCATTTTACTTTCTAATAACGTTTTTTTATTTAGTAGTAAACGAGTCGAAACAATGTAAGATGGTAATATCAAGAGAACATTAGCATATAAATTAAAATTTTCACATAATTATTATAGAATTATCGTGAAAGTTTATCGTAAAAAAATATTAACATACAGAAACGCTATAATAAAATATACAATACTCTAGTTAATCTTCCAAGGACTAAATTTCCATATCTAAACTCACGAAGAATTCGTTAAATCGTGCTCAAGGCCTTCATTATCGTCGCGTTTACACGTCCACTCGTCAATGAGTAATCCGCACTTCCGTATCGCGATACAAAGTAGGGTGAAAAAAAGAGAAAGAGAGAGAAACCGAGAGATTTCACCCTTAGCGAGTTTACAAGCCACGACTTCTACCTCGGGAGCGTATGATTAAACAACTCAGGTGTTTTATGCTCGACTCGTAGTGATCGCGTGACTCAACGGCCACATCCGTTTCCGCCGTTGCGTACGGTCAACCGCTTTAACCCCTAACCAATGGTTCGCCTTAAGGGTTGCACGTTACCATCGACCGCGAAAGAAAGTATACTTTTGCCGACATATCTTTAAGCCGTAATCGGCTCCGCTCGATAGTCACGCGCCAACAAGGAGCTACCAGTGTGAGCTGTTAAATTTTACTTTATCCAACTACATCCTGCGACGATGATTTTGTTTCCACATTCTATAAGGATATCCGTTTGAGACTCGTGTGAAGCAGTGGCTTTCAACAATTAAAATAAAAGGGTATATTTCCTGGCATTTGCGCAGGAATCACATCCGAGTTTTACAACTTTATATTTATGATATTAATGGCAGATTCTTTGACTTGAATCCCGAGTCAACCTTTTTTTCAAGAATTTGCGGGCATTATTTTTACATAATCAGAAAAATAAGAAATTTATAATATTACATTATAGTATTAGAAATAAAAGAATCCTTGCAAATTAAATATTATAGCTGCATACATATACAAACATAAATCATGTTTTTTGATAAATATCAAGTAGGATTTACTATAATCGACTTTAATTAAAAATTTAATTATAAATATATGCAATGTTAAATGTTGAAAAATTACATTACAAATAATGTTCTCGGAAGAGAAAGAAAGAGAGAAGGAGAGAAATATTTTTCCTTTTCGTTGAGAAAATATTCTGAATTGGCACAAAATAATCTACTATTAAATTCTAATAGTGCGACAATCTATATATATTATTAGTCCAATATTCTGTAACTCTAATACAAATGACCTGTTAATTAATGGAAACGTACGTACACGAAACTTGTATTGTATCTCTCTTCTAACGGATACACGAGCTCGATGTTTCGGTCTCGTGGCCCGAGTCAATTCAGAGTAGAGAGCCATAGGGTGCAAGAAAGGTTGGGCAAATGTCGAGGAGTGACATTATATTAAATACGCCGAAATGCCATCGACCCCTGTCAAATGGTATAAAAGAGCGATTCCGTCGTTTCCTATCCTTTCCCAACAGACGTAATTTATTTGATATTGATGTAACATTTAATTTATCTATGAAATTTCTTTCAACGCGTATTATGTATGATAGTATGATGAAAAATCTATATACGTAATAGAAAGAGAGAGGGGGAAGAGGCAGATCGCGTAATTATAATCTCTTAAATATAGTTTAATCATTTCGATATCGGAAGTCAATTTACAGCTTCATCAAATTAAATAAATAATTATTGTAATAATAAGTATTGTTCAATTCTTTTAAGAAATAATAAAATTTAAAATTCAAAATTGCATGCATTTTTTCTTGATTATTAGGGAACCGAGAGGCTTTTTTTATAAAAATTGATATATTTTAAATAGATAAAATATTAATATCTCTCAATATATATATATTTTAAAAAATGAATCTAGTAGCCAAAGAGTTAATCAACACATATGAAACGGACGCTTTTGTTAACTAGTTGGGCCAAGGGTTGTTAGCACCGAATGGTTGAACTGTTTTGGACAACCAAAGACACAGGAGTATAATTAATTCGGCCATTCGGCTTTATCGCTACGCTATTATGCTCGGACGTATCTCGCCGCGCGGATATTCGGTCTGCTCTCCCTCCGGATCCGCGAGTTTTCCGAGAAATTAGTCGGCATGATTTGCATCTGACGTGCACCTCGGGGCACCCACACGTCGCTCGCATAGTTCGCAACTCTGACTTTCCTAGCTGCTCTCTCTCTCTCTCTCTCTTTCTCCTCTGTTTCGCAAATGTCTCCGAATACCTTCGCATCTACGTTGGAAGCCCTCGTGCCAATTATACTCGTCAAGAGAGGAAGCGTCGAGCATATTCTTCTTGTTCTACGACATTGATCCTCCTTGAAAGTCTCAAGTTAGGGGAACCAACCGCCGTTTTACATCAATCGCAATGCGGAACGAGTGACGGAAGTTGCTAGAAACATCGACGCGTAATTTCATCAAGAATAATAAGTTATTTATTAATTAAATCTTTTTTTTCCTTTCTTCCTTCCTTCGTTCATTAAAAAATTTAGACTAAAAAACTACGACCCTTTAATAGTATTTCTAATATTATAAAATTTCTAAAAAGAGAGTTTGGAAAAATGTGAAGAAGGATATCGCGTCACGCTCTCGACATCTTGCATGAAAAGATATGGAAATTCTCCTTTTCGCGATCTCGCAAAAGCCATGACTTGCGGGCTCTTGAGTCTCGCGCGCCGATTATCTCCATTCGGCAGATCCGAGCCGAAATGTTTCGGCTCGAGTCCCGGCTTTCGAACGAGTCTCGGCTTAACTCGGTTGTTGTGAATAAGTAAGCGAAGTGTTGCGAAGTGCTGCAGAAGTTAGGCAAACCCCCGGCTAGGGTGGCTCGAATTAAATTGTTATACGGATGAGCTGCCACGAGGAATACTCGAGCAAGAGAGACTTTGCCGTCGCCGCCGACGTCGGCGCCGCCGGGTGTGAATGTTTAATTACCGGCTTTCATTATTGTTAATAAAATAATAGCGCAGTCGGAGAGGGCCCGCGGAAACGAGACCGCACCTTGGCGCAATCGCACCTTGAAGCTTATCATTTTGTAAGCGTTTCTCGAAATTTTGCCGATCGTTGAATATAATTAATATAGATTCATTCTATTTTAATCTTTCACAGAAAATTCAATATATTCATCAAAATTGTGATCAATTGCGATATATTATTTACATCCTCACTTACCTATGATTGCATTGTTGACAAGCGAAGCACTCCAAATGATAAACGTTAGTTCTCGCTCGCATCACCATCTCGAATGCTGGGATAACTTTGCTGCATGCTGCGCAGTGACCGGTATTTCCGAAAAGTCTGTCAAACAGACAAGAACAAAAATGATCCATCATTGCCATTTCAAATATTTCAAGTAACTATATACACGATTCAAATAAAGATCGCGGTTATAGCAGGATTATATAAATATGTTATATTATGGCAAGAATATTATCGAAACTTGGGGAATCTGTGACTCGTAATATAACGGAAAAAAGTCGTTTTCGTCTCGATGACGAGAATGAACGGAAACTTTCGCCCCGCGCGTCGCGAAAACCAATAAGCTTACGGGCACCACGAATATGCCGTCTTCAAATATTAGGCCATTAATAAAGGCCACAATGTTTCGATGGTGCGTGTTCCTCGTGCGGACGCGCCACCTGCGCGCATTCCCTCGGGACTTTGTAATCTCAACACGGTTTATTTGCTCCCGCTTGTTTATATGGGATGTGGATGTATTCAATAAGGGAAACTCATCTGTAAAATTCGATTTGTTGCCGCCGCTTTCCTCCATTTTCCCTCTCCTTCACGATCGTGTCCTTCATCCTGTTTTTTATCAATCTGTCTATCTATCTATCTACGTTTACTGACTCGTCGACATAAGACGCGCGTGAGTAAATGTGCGAAAATTCTTCCGAAAAGAATTTTGCGAGAAACGGACCAAATAATAGATCAGATTGTTTTTTTTTTTTTTGTTCGATACTCACCGTAGATAATCTCTTTTGCAGAGAATGAGATTGGCCTTTGTGTAAAGCGTCGAGCCGACTTCGCCGAGTCTGCAGTCGCAACATCCGCATTTCAAGCAGTCTTCATGCCAATACATGTCCAACGCTTTCAGAAGGTACCTAATAAAAGAAAATTTATAATAATATTTATATAAAAAAATGCGAATCTGTATTCATACATAAAGAGAGAGGATACGCTTTACTGATCTAATTATTTATTTAAAATACACAATTATAATTAATTATTAGCGAAATTATAAAATATTGAAAACAATTAATATCAAAATTATATATACAGAGTTCTATAGATTTATATTTTAAAAGTTGTCAATAAATTATTATATATCGATAAGAAAAAATTTCAGGGATTAGAGTGATATTGTTTAATGTAATTTGAAATTGTTTTTTTTCTGAATAATGATAAAGTTCATCGTACAATGATCCATAAATTGATTGCAACTTTATTGTTCTACGTCTGCTGATGTTGCACGGTAAATACATGTTACGTGCTTTTTTATAATTGTAATTCCTTATTTTTAATTTTTGCTCAAATATCAAATTGCGAATTTATAAACCACGCATTCTCCGCGGATCATCTTTCATTTATAAAAATGTGGAAACGTATTTAATCCATTTTTCGTGTGTCCGATCTCGGAGAAAAGATAGATTAAACGTTAAGTTAATCGTTTTTACGATAGTATTCTTTCGAGAGATATGATATTTAACATACACACGAAACACTGTCACGTAACGATACGGAGCACTTACCTTTCCGTAATCGTCTTTCCACAGCCCGCGCATTCTTGTTGAGTGGCCCCGTTCTTGCCCGACTCGCTCTTGCTCCCATCCATAGTCATTTTATCGCCTGCAACATGATGCAGAAATGCTTTGTTTAATTACTGTATTGTACGAATCGCGTGATGAAAATTTGACGCGTCTCGTAAATTTGCGTCAAACAAAGAACCACGTTTTTTTTAAACCTTTATTTAAATTTTATAGAAATTTTAAAGAAATATTGTGAGAGGATAATTATCGTTACTAGATTAATTTTGCTTTGACGAACAGTTAATCGTGTATTTATTACGGCATTTTTGTCTCGATCCGGAAGCTGCAACGATCCCGTCGGATCGACCATCGGCTACAGTTCGTCGGGATCGAATGAGTAATCGCGTCGGCGTGCTTTTAACAAGTTTCACCGGCATCTGGCACTAGAATGTCGGCTTGTCTATGAGTAATTAGAGTTACGGCTTGAGAATTTAACGGCGCGGTTAGTGCCATCTGTGTCCACCCTGTTCGATCCTGAGTGTGTAGCCTTTCTCATCCTCCGCGGATCCCTCCCGCATCGTAGCGTACCATCCTATGGTCTCTTTCTCGCGATGTGGTCAGAGTTTAGAATCGAATTAGTTTGACCCTCCCACACTCTCGCTTCCTTCCGCTTATTGCGCGTTTAAGCACCACCAACTCCGAAATAACCAACGACTCGGACGACCGATCGCTGTCCGTGCTCTGGGTAAACATTAGAGGTATCCCTCTGAAGAGCCACGATGTTCTTTTAAGCGTATAAGAATAGCACAGTGCTTTACATGAATCGCGAAGAAAAATGACAATGTAAATCTTCTCTCGAATCGTTGGAAAGCGCGAGTTGTTTAGAAAAATTACGGCGAAAATAATTTTTGACAGATGCGATTTCCTTAACTGTGAATGCGCGTATTAGATCAATGACAAGATGTTGCGTTCGAAGCTGTTTGGTCTTCAAGCGGTTAATATCGGGAATGTTTGACGGGTCGGCATTTTTCCTCGGGCGATGTCCACCGTCGTACTATTCCAAGTTCGATCTCAGCCACCCGGTATATTTACGAGCTCATATCCGTTGGATGCTATGAGCGAAGTTTGTGCGGTTTCAATATGTCCTCCCTCTTCCCTTAGCATGGACACAATATTACGCGGGTTAATATCTTCCGTGCGGTCGGGGACTTCGGGGCAAATATTAATACGATGCCTTTGATCCGTTAATTATTAACGGCGACGGGAATGAAAAATCTGTATCGCCTTGGCGGAACGCGAAAATTGCCGAGGACAAAAACCAGATGCCGGATGTGATGGCCCCCTTTTCCGATGCGCTTCTAATTAAACGCCTTTGTGTCGCGAGTAGCGGACAGGACCCGCATACACAATGCTAGTATGTGTGCGTGTTTGCGTGTACGCGCACGTTTTTTTGCACGATGCAAACGCGACGGAGGAAAGTTTTCGTTCACGGTAACGAGAGATGCTTCCGTGAACAACCGAGGCACCTCTCGGTTACAATCGCATATGCGGGGGGCGAGTTAATTAATCGAGTTGAATCGATTACACGCTTTACTTCTCCGCCCGCGGGTTACCGATAAATTGAATACGTTATAAATAATAATACGATTGTTATTCGCGAGCGTGCACACACCTACCCGTGGTAATGATTAATGGAATAACTAACTAGCGGGGTAAATTATGCAAACTATTAAATCCGCCTGTGCATATAAACTTTCCCACATAATAATCGCTACGCGATATCGATTGGCGCGAGATGTTAAATTTATGTTGTAGACCTTCTTGTGGACCTTTCATCAGCGTAATTAGATTAAACATATTTTTCAATGTATTTTTTTCTTATTTTTAATACGAGATAAATGTGTGCATGAGTTTTATATACGCACGTTATGCCGCGTTTTAAAGTTATCAACGGAATTTCTGTCGCGATTGTATGTCGGATTGCTTGGTTGTTGCGCATTCGCGACTCGCGGACGTTAGCGAAACGTCACTGTTGGCGAACGGAAGTGGCGAGAGTGTTTCCTTTGAAACTCGAAATCCCCCGCGTACGAACTACGATACTACAGAAATATTTGGAGTTACATGCACTGGAATTTCACCGCAGAAATTCCTGCGGACGCCGACCTGGATTCCGCCGACGACCTCGAAAACCTTCGACCGCTAAGCCAGGTTGGCGCTCAATTTCCACTTTGTATTTAACCGCGATTTTCATCAAGCGGGGATATACGGTTTGCCTCGAAAAGAACATTCGTCCTTTTATCGTCAGGTTCCTTGATCTTATCATTAGCCAGTTTTCCGACCAATTTCACTTTTAACGTTGATCGTGCTTTCTCTGTCTTTTATTGAATCTGTATAACGGTAAATGCGGACACGGAATGAAAGAAACTGGCGTGAAATTCGCGGTACACGGTTAATTGTTCGGTTTTTGAGCGCCGCCATCGATTTTTGCGACTAATTACTCGACCGAGGTTATTGTCGTCGGGTAGCCAGCGAAGCACGGCGGAAACAGCTCGCTTCAAACGTTACTGAGAGGAGGGTCCATAACGAGAGAGATTCCCCCACGAAAGTGGCTCGCATCGCTGACCGCCGGAACTGTTCATCAGGTACGTGATCGAATCATCCACGGACGCTGATCCTCAAAGCATCGATAATTCGATTAGCCGCTACACGTTCGAGAACCGCTAACCTGTCCACGAGTCGGTTGTGTACGTGCTCTCCTTGACCATGCCGTGCGCTCTCTCGGTGGTCATTATCATTGCGATTGATATTACGGAAGCGACATGGTAGACGTCTGCGTATCTCTATCCTCTTGATGATCGAGAGAACGACCGTAAAAGAGGGCATAATTAAGAAACTATCTAGTTTTCACTGTTCATTTTCGAATTGATATTTTTGGACGATTTATTCGGCGGCGATCTCTGGATTGCTCAATATAATGGCAATCCGGTAAATTCGATATTAATAAGAATAATGCCTTTACTATTCATGATATCGTCTGTAACAAACGTGTCTGTAAAATCAAGAGTACAATGGTAGTAGGGCGGAGGCGATCTGCTTATCGACGCAGCCGAGCAGTCTCGATGCAATTCTCTCAAGGCTCCGCCCCTGCAGCATCCATGACACTCCCAGCGAGCAACCCCCGCAACTCTTTAAGAAATAAAAAGTGCAGCTCACCACGCCTTGCTATTTTAGAAACTTGATTTCTGCCGACATCTTTTTATTTTCTATAGTTTACAATTGAAATATCATTGGCACTCCAATATTTCAATTCAAAATCATTTGTTTAAAAAATCTCTGAAAGACAGAGACGATGAGACAGTTATGGAATACCTTGCACACGTCATTTTTTCTCGATTCCATTAATCCCATTTATTTCAAACAGCTTGATTTAGCTTCAATGAATATATCACATTCACCTGTCCTCCTCTCCAATCTCCCGCGAGGGAGAAAATCCCTTACGTCAGGAAGCGCTTACCGAAATTTCCACTCGTCCAGGGTACGCGGTCGCGCTTTTGTCTTTAATAATGCTTCTGCAGCAGCGTTATCTCTTACTTTTAGAACGGCCGGGCGGGCGTCCGGAGAGTCGGTCCATTAATTAGGCGGGCCGCATTAAGCCGGGCATTAATATACTCCGCTGGCTGTTTTGTTTTATCCCGCAGGAAGGACGTAACCTATCCCGGAGGCTGACGGCGGGGTTGGTCGCGCCGAGAGAGAAAGAGAGAGAGAGAGAGAGAGAGGGGTGGGCGGGGGGCGGGGACAGGGCAGGGAATGAGGGGAATTATTTCGATGCGGGGGCAACCTGCTAATCCGACCTGCCACGCAACGCCAAGCCGCCGCCGCCGCCGCCGCCTTATCCCGGGGGGCTGTTTAAATTCCGTAAATCGCCCGCGAGAGCGTCTCTCAACCCCGACGGTGCCGACGGTGCCGACGGTGCGCGTTGCCGACGTTGGACGGTAGCTCTCGAGAAATTAGGGAGATAAGATTCGAGCCGCGTACCGTTAGTCACGTGCGAAAAACACGACATCGTCGTTTCTCGGAGGGCAAAATTCTTCTCTTCAAGGAGAACAATCGCATGCAATGTCTGACGACAGTGTCATCAAGCGTTTCTCGTACTCGAATTAAAATAATTAAGTACCAAAGTTATACATTTTCTCAAGGTATAATCGGGGCATCAGAATATTTTAGACAGTTTTTATTTCGTAGCTAAAATCTCTATAGATTTATAATTCTATATAAATCCTGAAATTAATAATAATAATATGTATATATAATTATTATTAAAATATCAATATAACATTCTTGTTTGATATATTGTTGAATACACGTTACATATGTCACGTTTTTAACGTTCAATTTTATATAAAAATAAATTTATATAGAGAGATAATCTACTAAAAAAAATGTTAATAATTCTGACTCTCCAAATATATATCTTTATCATCAATTGTCCCTGCCGTATTATATCGACTTTATCCTTTGGATGAAGGACTACCGTCGCGTTTTTCCAGACGATTACCAAAGAGTGTTTCCACACGTGTGTCTGTAACTACTTCAGTGAAGAAATTCCCATATCGTCGCCCACTCGAATCGTCGCTTTCACCGCGCCGCGATAACTTCCCTTTCCCGCGCGTCGTCGGCTCGTTACTTCGCATTTAATACGTACGCGAAAACGCGCGATAGCGGTACAATACGTTGCTAAATCGGCTTAAGTTTATACTTGGATCGACTCGTCGGGCGCCTAGGAATAAGAGCCCCCGGTATAACGACGTAATTTAACGTCCGAAAGGAATATTTCCCACGGAATAAATCTCGCGTAACAGCGCCAGTGAAATCCTCGTTTACCCGGCGTTCAACCCTTGCTAATGGGGGTAATTTAAGGGATGTTTTAAGCGCCCCCGGGTCACACGTGAGCCGCACAAAAAGTTCGCGTATTACGACCGTGGCCGCCGTAATCACGCATTAGCATTCCGAACGGCCGGAACCGTCGGGATATTCCGGATATGTTGAGAATGGCGCACTTAAACCTCCGTTGCAAAAAGGAATCGACTCCTGTAGTATTTG